CAGAAGTGGGCTGGGGTTTGCTTCAGATCCCATAGCCCAGAAAAGCTGGTTTTGTTATCTTGCCACTCTACCGACCCCCATTTCAGACTGGATGTGGGCACTGGAGAGAAGGAGATGCAGCCAGTCCTGAGTTTCCCTCCTGTCCTCCAGGCTAAGCAAGGCCATCACTTCCTCAATCATGGCACTGGTCTGTGCCATCAACCTCTACTTCGTGGTCAGCTACCTGCCCAGCCTCCCTCACCCTGCCTACTTCAGCCTTGTAGCTCTGCTGGCTGCAGCCTACCTGGGCCTCACCACCTACCTGGTACTGTAGGGTCAGCTGGTGTCTTGGGATGGGGAAGGCAACAGCAGGCAACAGATGGAGGGAGGGGGGATGGACATGAGGACTCCCCAGAGGTCTTGTTCTCATAATCACCCCTCCCCCAGGTCTGGACCTGTTTCATTGCCCACGGAGTTACCATGATAGCTCACAGCTCCCACCAACACTTCTTGTATGGGCTTCCTGAAGAGAAGCAGAAGGGGGAGCCCTCTGGATGAACTTCCCTGGGGCCAGGCTCAGATGGTGGGGTATGGACTAAATGGGGCAGGCTAGCCTGTTGGGCATGGGGGTGGGAAATGCGGAAGCAGCAGTTGGAATGGGAGTTTTGGAGGCAGGCCAATCCAGAGGGACCTGCTGTTTCCCAGCTTGGACAACTGATTAATTTACAGGTCTCGGTGTCCTCATCTGTAAAATGGGACAACACCAACCTTGCAATGGAAGTAAAGCACTTTAACACAGTGCTTGGCACCAGGAATAAAAAATAATGCAAAAGCGTCACTAGCGTGGCTCGGTGGACTGGGCGTCCTCCCATGGACTGAGAGGTCCCGTTGGATTCCCAGTCAGGGTGCCGGCTCGATCCCCAGAAGAGGGCATGCCGGAGGCAGCCCATGGACATATCTTTGTCATCTGGATGTTTCCATCTCTCTCTCCTTTCCTCTCTCTGTAGAAAATCAATAAAAACATATATTTTTTAAAATCCAAAAGTATTTATTGAGCACTATAGGAGTGACCTGACAGACCAGCCCAGTTGTGGGTAGGACATAGACTCCAAACTGGCACTTAAAATAGAATCTGATGAATATTAAACCAATGCTAGTTCCCTTCTTATCCAAGGGAGCAGGGAAACGGAATCAGGGAAGGCACAAAATCCCTGAACAATCAAGAGGAGCCCCCTACTCCAATGTCTCCGCCTCTTGCTATTTAGCTCTTTGGCCTCAGCCTTTTTGTTCCACCAGCAACCCATTTTCTAGGCAGTAAAACAGAGGCGCAGTTCTCCTTCCTTCTGGCGCCAGGTCATAAGGAACCCTAGAGTCCCTGCCTCTGAGGCCCAATTCATTGCCAACTCCCCCGGAAACCCGGCGGCCAGGACTCCCAAGTCGCGCAGTTAACGTTCCTTGTGCCCTGGCGCCCAGCTCCCCCTAGGGGTAGGGACGTTCCAAAGTGCCTGAACTACCTGCCACCGTCTCACCCTTCCGGGCCAAAAAGAAGGCGGGCGCTCGGGCCTCGCGCCCTGGGGCCTCAGAATCTGCCCAGATAAGGAGGGGGTGGGGAGAGAGAGACATGTGGGCGGGGAGTCCCCTCTGCTGCTGGGAGCCGCCCGACACACCTTCGCCCCGTGCTGGGGCTGCACTTTGCAGACGCTCCCTGGGCTGTTTCTAGGCTCCCCCAAGTCCCTCCTCCGGCCTCTTCCTGTCCCTCGGACCTCAGCCCCAGAGCTTCGGAGGGCAGCGATGAGAAGGGGCTGCCAGGCTTTTCCCTGGGTTGAGACGGGAACGGGCCTGGAAGACCCCCCCACCCCAATTTCCCGGGTATTCGGTGGGGCAAGCCCCGCGCTCAGGAAGGGGCGCTTGTTTATGAGAAGAATATCCTCTTTCTTAAAAGGGCAACGATGCCAGTGGGGCCCTCAGGAGGAATGGAATGGGACGGGTCTGGCTCAGGTCAGACCAACGATGGGAAAGGTTACCTGAGCAAGAAGGCCGCCCAATTCCCTTCTCCGGCCTTGGCCCTGGAGAAAATGGGGCCCACGCGAGCTGAAGGGGGGAAGGGATGGGGGCAGGTAGTGGAGAAAGGCATCTCCTAGCCCCTTCTCCAGCTTCCTGGGGTTGCAGCCATCTGTACCTCCTGCATACTCCTTTGGTCAATTCACTAGTAATTAAATGGGTTCCAACCCTGTCAGATGTGGGGGAGGGAGGCAAAGTTCCGAATTAAAGGTGATGGCTCCCAAGGAGTTCCAGTGTGTGTGTGTGTGTGTGTGTGTGTGCGCGCGCGCGCGTCTGTAGGGTAGACAGACAAATCACTATATAGTGGGATGGGGAACGATCGATGTAAGAATCGGGCACAGCTGAAAAGAGCGGGGCATGGGCCAGGGAAGGCCCTTGGACAGAGTTTGAAAGCTGAATAATCAAGGAGTGATGAGCATGCAAATGGACCGGGGGGGGGGGGGGGGCAGGGGCTGTGTGTACGAAAGCAGAGACGTGTGGAAAGTTCTTGGATCTTGTGGAGCAGGATGGGGACCCCAGAGGAATGAGCAGGCTGGTCCTACTAATAGTTAAGCCTGGGACTTAGGACTTGGGGGCAAGGGATGCCGGGAGGCATGGAGACTGAAGGGCCAGCTAAGGCGTTACAGTGGGCAAGAGGTTGGCGATGAGGTTAGGTCAAGGTCAGTCATTTCAGCTCAAGGGAGGCCCCGACAGAGCGCTGCCCTCCCACCCCCATAGTAGCTCTGGTTCTCAGCCTCTGGGTTCAGACTTGACTTTCTCTGGGAGACTGCCCTGGTGGCCCTGCCTTTCATGCTTGGTGCCCCCTTCCATTTTACCAACCCCATTTGGCAGATGGAGTTAGCTGCGTGCAGGATGGAGAAGACACTTGTCCACAGTGCCAGACAGAACCTGGTGTTTCCCCACGCACGGGTCCCATGATTTTGTTCTTCCTGGGGTGCAAACCAATGAAAGGTAAAAATAAACTATGTGAGTAAGGCGATCTCTAGCCGCTGGGGTAGAGAGACAGCAGTAGGTGTTGAAACCCCACCACCACCACCACCTCATACACAGATGAGGAAATTTAAAGACACCCCCCCCAAAAAAAACTGCAGAACACTTCCACCAGCTCCCCTGTCCCCACAGTTCCCTAGACCTTGGGGGCAGACCTCCTGTCTGGGATCCTGGAAGGAGGGCCGATCTTCTAGGGGAAGAGACCGTACCAACAAAGGTTTAGAGGGGACACTGGGGGTTGGGAGGCCAGGGGAATGGCACAGCGGTCCTGCCCAGTGGCCTATCCCCTCTTGGGGACAGCCTGCCAGGTTCCGGTCTTCACAGGGGGAGAATGGAAGAAAGAGGAAGGCGAGCTGTCCTGCTCATGGCTGGAGCGAAGCCACGGCTTCACTCCCTCCTCTCCACACATTTACTTTTGGGGTCAGTGTGGCCTGGGTGTCGTAGATAAAGCTGAGGCCTTGCCCTGGGACGGCCCGAACGGTAGGGGAATCCCAGGGGCCGGAATCCCGCCTCTGCCGGAGCAGTAGAGCTGGGTCAAGTTGTTTCACTTCTCAGTTCAGTTTCTCATATGCAAAACGGCAAAAGAAGGAGGTGGTTCTGAGCAGTAAGTGAGGTGACGGGGGTGCATTCAGACGACGCGCCCGCTTCTTGTAAGCGATTATAATTAAACGCAATGAGGCGGGCGGGAGGGCTTGCAGGCGCCTTAAGAACTGGAGGGGGGCCGTGGGGGTCCAGCTTGGGGGTGGGAAGTCACAGGTCAATGTCACTTTCTCCGCTGCCCAGTCGCAGGACCCGATCTTCGCCTGTCCCGCCCCCCGCGTGGGGCGTCCCCCTCCTTGCTCCGCCTCCGTGGGGCCTGGAGGACTTTCGCCGCACTTGCGCGCGTTCGCTGGACCGGACTGAACCCGCCCGCCTCCGAGGCCCGCGGGGGAAGGAAGTGCTGAGGCGTGTTTGCCAAGGCTTGGCGTTATTATTTTTTAAATTATGAACACAAAATAATAACGACAAATGGAAAGAACTTAATAAACAGGAAAAAGAAACCCACCCCCAGGGCCAATCACACGGGAGTTTGCCTCGTAAAGAATCCTTGTGGATACGGGCCTAGCCAGGGTGTGTCTGCACGAACCCGGGTGGAACTGTTGTTTAAAAGCCTCCAAAAAGTACTTGTCAGGCCCCAGGGACAGGCTGGGCCCCCAGGGATTGAACGTCCACTGTGCGGGCGCCACCAGACACTCCACCCCTCTCCCCCAATAATCTGGCGGGGAGTAGAGGAGGGTGTCTGGGAAGGCCTCCTGGCGACAGCGGCATTTCATCGAGGTGGGTGGGATTTGGCTCCGTGAAGGGGACAGGAAGCCGGTTCCAGGCCGAGGGAACAGAGCGGACGAGGGCGCCTCCTGGCGGGAACGCCAGGTGACGGCGTGGGCACCGGGGTATGCTGGGTGCCACATGGGGCAGTTGGAACAGGTCGGCAGGGGGGATCCCGGGGCAAAAAGTCGGAATTCTTCTGCCCTACAAATACGGGTCACCTGGCCCCGAGACTGCGGTGGGTGTTGACGGTCACAGTCCGGTCAAGAGCATAATTGTGTGAATCTGCACAGTCCCTGGGAGAGAGCAAAAACCCACCGTTCGTTCACGACTCCCGAAAAGTGGACCCTGCAACCATAGGAGAGAAGACCCATTTTACAGACTAGATAGTGTTATCCCTAATTTCCAGAAGAGAAAACCAAGAAGCAGCCTGTCCCTGCCCCTTGGAAAGCGCAGAGGTGAAGGCCACAGCCCGCCCGCACTCCCCGGCGTGGGCGCTTGGCGGGCGGGGCGGGCCCTGGCCCCTGGCGCTGGGCAGCCTCGAACGATGGGCCGGGTGTAGGTCTTGCCACGCAGCCGCAGAGGCTCCCCGCGGGAGGGCGGCAGGAAGGGAGGTGACGCCCCCTGGAGCGCGGCCGGAACCGGGCCGGACCCGCCTCCCCGCCCGCCGAGTCGCGCCGGCCCCAGAAGTGATGAAAGCCGCGGCCGAGTCCAGGTCACGCCGAAGCCATTGCCCTTTTAAGGGGGAGCCTTGAAACGGCGCCCGGGTTCCATGTTTGCATCCGCCTCGCGGGGAGGAAACTCCATGTTGTAACAAAGTTTCCTCCGCGCCCCCTCCCTCCCCCTCCCCCTAAGAACCTGGCTCCCCTCCCCTCCGAAGCTCGCGGGGATCCCTCCCTCCCACCCTCCCCTCCCCCCCGCGCCCCGATTCCGGCCCAAGCCGGGGGGGAGGCCGGGTGCTGGGGCCAGAGTCCGGCCGGAGCGGAGTGCGCCGGGCCCCATGGACAGCTCGGCCGTCATTACTCAAATCAGCAAGGAGGAGGCACGGGGCCCGCTACGAGGCAAAGGTACTGGGGCCGCGCGGAGGGGGCCGCAGTTGGGGCGCCGCAGGAGGGGACGAGGAGGGGGCCAGGACCCTCCCCCGGGCTGCCGCCCAGGGCGCCCGCTTTGGCGGGACTCGAAGCTCTCGGCCAGAGAGGGAGCGGGGAGAGTTTGAACTCGGGGAGCTCAGAAACGTGGGGCGGGGTCTGGTGCCTCTTGGGTGCTCGGGTTTGCTCGAGGTGGGGAAGCTGAGGCAGGAGTAGAAATGGGGCTCCTTCAGGGTCTCTCGGGTTGGCAGTGCGCAATGCCAGAGAGTTGCCCCCTCTGCCAAAGCTCCCCCCCTTCCATGAGCGCGGACGGGGCTGGGAGATGGAGGGTGTTGTAGAGGGCGCCTTCAGGCCACCCGCTGAGACTCCGCCCACCACCCACTCGGGGCCTTGGTCTGGTCGGGTCGCGGGAGGGGCGCTGAGGTGACAGCGGGCTGGGGAGGGCTGGATCTCCCGCCAACACACAGCCACGATTCCCACAAACTTCCGCGTCACGCGTGGTGACTTCTAAGAGTCACCAGCGCGCCCGTGGGGAGACCTGTACTTTGGGCTGGGCATGCGGCATCCCGGCTGCAGGCCCGTGGGCTCCAGGCCTGTGTACACTAGTAGCGACCCGGGAAGCCGCGCCCCCCCTTGGGTCGGGCCCCCGGGGGCTGGCGAGCCCGGGCTGGAGATCTGCCCCTCCCTGTCCCAGTGTTTACTTTCGAGGCTAGGAAGACCTTCCAGATCTGTCCACCTTTGGCCTGATCCTAGCTCCACCCGGGGGACAAGGGCTGGGTCCAGGGTGGAGAATGGGCCGGTCAATCAGCTGGCAGACACCTGGCTCTAGGTTGGAGGTTGGGGCAGGGAGGGCTGTAGGAGGCGGGGTCGGCAGATGGCTGCTGGACAGTGGCCCCAGGTCCACCCCCCCATTCCCCACCCCCCACCCCCAGTCTCTCGGTACAGCCTCAGTGAAGGACTTTGGACTCACGGGGGTCTGAGTATGGAAGGAGGGCAGGAGTGAGCCCCAGGCCCTCCTGGGCCCAACTGAGTAAGGGCTGCTCAGGTAAGGTGGGTGTCAGGAGGTGCCCCCAGTGGGGCTGATCCCTCAGCAGTGATAGAGGCAGAGAGGAAGAAACAACACCGTTTGGTACTCCCTCCAGCCAGCCCACTCCCTAATGGACCCACACTGGAACTACTTGTGGGGAGCAGAGGGATGGCCTGGAGCCACTCTGATGTGTCTCCCTCAGTGAAGAGGGTATGACCAGACCCTCGAAGCTCAGGGGCTGGCACCTGGGCACATGTGCATGCCTCTGCAGGTCAGTGTGCACACCCCACCTTGGGCCTCCCTGTTTTCAGGTGACCAGAAGTCATCTGCTTCTCAGAAGCCCCGGAGCCGGGGCATCCTCCACTCACTTTTCTGCTGTGTCTGCCGGGATGATGGGGAGGCCCTGCCCACCCACAGTGGGGCACCCCTGCTTGTGGAGGAAAACGGAGCTGTTCCCAAGGTGCGTGGTGGCCAGGGGTTTAGGGAAAAGGGTTTTTCTTGACCTGCCTGCAAGCTCTGGATGGTGTGGAGGAGGGTGGAGTCCTCCCGGGTCTTCCCAGCTTGTCACCTGAACGCTCCAAGACCTCCACCAAGGGAATTGTAAATTTCTCCATCGTAGGTGCATGCTGTTCTCTGCCTTGATTTCCCAGGTGGAGAAGTGAAGCCTAGAGAGCCAGGCAGACTGTCTCGGGCTCCAGAGTTGGCAGGGGCAAATTTGGGATGAGGGTTGTCTCATGTCCCTGTGGCTTCCCAGAGAGGGCTGTGGGAGGGAAGATCTTTATAGGAGAAATTATTGGGGTGTCAGGGAGGTGCCCCTAGCCAGTCCCGCTCATCCCCACAGCAGACCCCAGTCCAGTACCTGCTCCCCGAGGCCAAGGCCCAGGACTCAGACAAGATCTGCGTGGTCATCGACCTGGATGAGACCCTGGTGCACAGCTCCTTCAAGGTGGGCCCTGCCCAGCAGCCCCCAGCCCTGGGTTTCTGAGGGGGCGTGCCCTGGCCTAGGAGGGCAGTCTGGGCAGGCCTTGCCTGAGCTCCAGTCACTCTTTTCTCCCCATAGCCAGTGAACAATGCTGACTTCATCATCCCCGTGGAGATCGATGGGGTTGTCCACCAGGTGAGGGGCCGGTATTGGGGGGAGGCATGGGTTTGGCATCTGCCATTCGGAGAGGCTCTTCCCACCAATCCTGAGAGTATAGGTCTTTGATAGATGTGGAATGTTAGAGGCCCAGAGAGGGTGTGAGACTTGTCCAAAGTCACACAGACCCTCAGGACCTTGACTCCAAGGCCTGCAGGGAGTGGGATTCTTCTTGGCACCCCTTACCCCACCTTGCCCGGGACCCAGTTCAAGTAATTCAGGATAGGTTGTGTGCCATCCAGCCTGTTCTCCATTACTTGGCTCGGGGGCCGGTGCCCTGCAGCCTTGGGGTAAGAGGGCTGCCTCCAGGTCCCTCCATTTGGCTAAGGCCGTGGTAGGGGAAGGGCCTGGAATTAGTGATACCCTTGAGGCAGGGGAAGCGTGGAAGTCAGAGGTTCATTTTGATCCTCTTCTGAGAAGGTGGTGGTTTCCCTAGTAGCAGTTGGGGTGGGTGGTCAGGCGGAGCACCCGCAGGGCCTGGGACCAGCCTGCCCCCTGTGCTCCTTTGCCTCCTTCACTGACTCCTGCCCAGCCCCTACCACCCCCCACTCCCAGCCTGTGGGCCAGCAGTCCCCTCACTGGCCCACCCCCCAGGTCTACGTGCTGAAGCGGCCCTATGTGGATGAGTTCCTGCAACGAATGGGCGAGCTCTTCGAGTGCGTGCTGTTCACTGCCAGCCTAGCCAAGGTGAGTGAGCCCCACACCCTCTGAAAGGCTCCTGGGACAACCCTGCCCTCCTCTCCAGCATGTGGCCTCTGGGCAGTGACCTCTGGGTCACCCTTGGCCCCGGATGACTCACCTCTCATCCACAGTACGCAGACCCAGTAGCTGACCTGCTGGACAAGTGGGGGGCCTTCCGGGCACGGCTGTTTCGTGAGTCATGTGTCTTCCACCGAGGGAACTACGTGAAGGACCTGAGCAGGCTAGGCCGAGACTTGCGACGGGTGCTTATCCTGGATAACTCACCTGCCTCCTACGTCTTCCATCCAGACAACGCTGTGAGTGTCATGCAGGACCCGGATAGGGGGCTGAGATCCAAGAAAGGGGTCAGTCCATTTGGGCTCTGCCTCCACTTCTGCTTCCAAGCAGGGCTGTGTCCCAGGCCTGGTGCCCTCTCCTTCTTCCTCCTTTCCTCTCATAGACCTGTGCCCACCCCCTCATGCTTGATTGATCATTCGGTCCATTCTGCCTGTGTGTAGAGAACTGGGGTCCCTGCTGGGCACTGGAGCAGTTGCAATATTTTAAGCTGCCAGTTGTGACCAGTTAGTGAGTCATAGAAATAATTTGGTGGGTCCTACTTGGGTTTTTTTTTTTTTTTTATGAGATAAAATAAGAAATATCCGAGTGCTTTGCACACAGGTTAAGTATCATTTGATAAAATTGTTGGTTTGTTAAATATATAAACATGATTTGCTGAGGGCTGCTGTCAAAATGTTTGAAAACTGTGGGTAAGGGGCTTCCAGGAGGTGGCCCACCGAACAGTGGGTGCCCAGGGATGGCCTGCATATTCTGCGTCCAGGGTGGTGACCCTACGCCCATCTGCCCAGGTACCGGTGGCCTCGTGGTTTGACAACATGAGTGACACAGAGCTCCACGACCTCCTGCCCTTCTTCGAGCAGCTCAGCCGAGTGGATGACGTGTACTCAGTGCTCAGGCAGCCGAGGCCTGGCAGCTAGTGAGGCGCCCTGGGGCCAGGACCTGCCCCTGACCACACCTACACTTTTCACACACGGACTCTTCCTTAAGAAAACCCAGCACCCTCGGCCTCAGTGCCACGGGGAAGTGTGCGTCTTCCTCGCCATCGGGCCAGGCTGCGAAGAGGGCAGCGAGACCCTGGATCCCTGTGTCAGTGCCTTAGAACCTCCTCACTCTTCTTAGGGGACCTAAGGGGTCCTGTGTGCCGCCCCCTTTTTCTCTCTGTGCTGCCGTGTTTTCCTGCTGCCAAGTCAGGCCCCTTGGCCCTTTCCAGTTCTGCTTGGGGGGGTGGGGGCAGGGTTCCTGCTGCCCCATGCCTTGAGCCCCCAGCCTGGGAACGGTGGACACCAAGTGCCTTGCACAGAGCCCTCTTCCCCGCCTGGTTTCCCCAGGGCCAGATCAGGTCAGCTCTTGCCTGGAACAGTCTTCAGGCTGTTGGTCAGGGAGAAACCAGTCTCCCCAGCTCTTCTGTGGGGACTGATACAGACCCCACCACCTCTGCCTAGGAGGGTGGGCAGGAGGGGAGATCTGTTACCACTTGTGAAAGCAGCAGGGGTCTGTCCTTCAGGATCCCAGAGTTCAGCTTCTCTGGGCTCATTAGCAGCTGAAGGCTGTTCCCCATTATCACTCAGGGGGCTTGGCTCCCCTAACTGAGTATGGGGACGTAGGCAGGACCCCTTTGTGGTGCCATATAAATATGTATATGTGTATATAGATTTTTAGAGGAAGGGGAGAGGGAAGGGTCAGACACCCCTTCCTCACCCCTTTCCTGGGCCCATGAATTGGGGGGGAAGGAGGGAAAAGATTTTTACACTTTTAAACTATTTTCTGAATGAAACAAGCTGGGCAGAGGGGCCCCAGGCCCTGTCCTCTGTCCCCCACACCCTCTTTGCTTCATTCATTCATTCATTCATTCATTCATTTAAAAGACATTTATTTAGCACCTTCTATGCGCCCAGCCTGTGCTAGGCCAACCAGCTGAGTGTAGGGAGGGGTCTCTACACCACCTAAGGGGTGCTTCCGCCACCCACCTCATACTTTACCTGTGCCTTTAGGGGATCTGTAGGAGGTGGGATACTTATTGTGGGGTTTTGGGGGTGTTCCTACCAAGCTACACCCCTCCTCTGTGCCAACCCACCCTCTGCAGCCTCCTGCCTCATCCCCTGCTGGCTGGGGGCTGCTCCTCGGACACCCTGCCTTCCAGCTCTGTCTCCTTACCTGGAACCCCTTCCCCAAATGCTGAGTCTGGAGGTTAAGGCCTTAGGCTCTTCCCAGGGCCTGTTAAGGGGACCCACATTCCAGTGCCAAGGGGGGTGGCAAATGGCAAATGGAGATGTCATTGTATCCTGCACCCCCCCCTCCCACAGCCCCCAGAGAGCTGAGGTGGGAGGGAGCACATGGCTGGTGTGAATCCTGTAACCCTCCCATTTAAGTGCCTTCTCTGTGGTGGAGATCCCCTCAATGTGATGAGAACTAAAGAGAAAGCCAGACCCCCACTCCATCCTGCCTCTGTGGTTATTGGTGTAGGGGCGGTAAAATGGGAGGGGGGCGTGTCTCATGAGGCCTCGTTCCACTTTAGCAAACCCTCTTTGGAGGGAGGAGTGTGGTAGTGATGATTGCCCTACTCCCCTGGGGCTTCAAGTGTGAAAGTGCAAGAATGATCTGAGTACTGTTTAATTTTCCTACTTCTCTCAGCCTCAGTTATCTGATCTGCAAAATGGAGATCGGCACTCTGCAGAACTGATTAAATGCTGCCTTGGAGGACTCATAAGACTAGCTCTAAAAGCTAAGCAGAAATGCGTCCCTAGGGGAGGCCCCGGAAGGTATTTGGAGCCGGGAGGGGTGTGGTCTCTGCAGGGAGTGGAGGGGAGGAGTTCTTGAGGCCCCAGAGGGTGGAGGTGGGAGCGGGCCGAATAACAGGGAAGTCAAGTTCAACTCCAAACGGAAGAACTTTGAACGAAGCTGACGTGGGCCTCCCCGGCAGTGTCGCGGGAAGGGCTGGCAGGCTGAGGCGCCAGGGGCTCTGGGGAGACTGGGTGGGGACAGGCGCTCGGCCTCATTCCCCTCTGCGCCCCCTTCCCCCACCCGCCCCACCACGGCCTCCGGCTGGCCGCGCCCTAGCAGGAACCTCCGGCCCACTTCCTGCCCCCGCCCGTCCAGCCCTGGCAGCACTTCCTTTGCAAAACTGGGCAGCCCCCAGGCCCTGGCAGGAAGTGCCCTCTCGGCCCGCCCCGACCCGCCCTCATGCTTCCCACAGTGGCCACTAGAGGCCTCCCTATCCTCGCGGACGCCGGGACTCCCCAGCGCTGGGCCCTCCCGGGACTGTCCCCACCCCGGCCCCAGAGGCTGGAAAGATGAACTCCAGTCATTCACCCCTCTCGGGGGTTTGCTCCCCACAACACACCCGGGGGAGAAGAGAGATCTGTTGCCCCAAAGATTGATCCCTGGCCCCCATCTCCACCTCTCCTCCCCTCCCTCATCCCCTTGTGAATCCATCCTCAAGCTTGCCTTTTGGTGCCCCAGATGCTGATCTGTCCCCCAAGTCTGTGAGGGTGATCTACCCATGTGTATACTGCCCCTTTCCCTTCCCTCGCTCCCCTCCCTTTTCCCTGGTAGGAAAGCGCTGGGCAGTACGGACCTGGGAAGAGAAGCTGCAGTTCCATCCGGGAGCTGGAGCCTCAGAGCCTTTGTGGAGTTAATACCCAGAGCGCCTGCCTCTGCCCTATCCTCCTTGGGGGTCCCGCTGGATTTCCTGCTTCATGCAAATACTAGTCCCCCAGATTTGCATCCCAGAGGCCCACATAGGCCAGGGAGTCATCAGGGCTCCCCACTTTGAATGAGACCGCAAACAGCCTTTTCCCACCACCACCACCACCCACACACCCTTCACCCACATAAAGTTCAACTTAACCACGTATATCTGCACTTCCTGTGTACCAGGCACAATGCCAGGACCGGGGACACACCATGACTAGGGTATGTCTCTGCTCTCAAGGAAATCACACACTAATATGGAGAAAAACACCTGAGCAGGCTATCTAGAACTTGAAATGCTGCGAATGTCATGCAAGAAAGAACACAGAAGGCTGGGAGCACAGGGGGTACCTTGCCTGGGGGTGGGATGGCCATGGAGGGTTTGGAAAATGTGTCCTGAGGAAGTGAGGCTAAGAGGAGTTTGGAAAGGAGGAAAGAATCAGGTGATGGTGGCCTGAGCGAGGAGATGCGCCAGAAAGGAAGCCAAAGAGCCAGGAGCATCTCAGTAAGGAGTGGGAATGACAACCATTTTGGAATTGGACACAGTGGGGGAAGGTGGGAAATGATGCTGCAGAAGGCAGAAGGGTGCAGATAACACAGATCTATAGGTGGGCCAAGGGAGTGGCCTTTTTCTTGCAGGCAGTGGGTGCTTCTGGGGGATATTGAGCAGGAGAAGTTTGTGCTCGATCCTAGTAGCTTCACGTTGGAAGCTAAATCAGGGATACAGGACAGGAGACCTTATTGGGAGACCACAGCCTTCACAGCCTTGGAGGATGGAGAATGAAGACTTGAACCGGGGCATAGAGGCAGAGTGAGAAGAAGGAAGGATGGATGTGAGATAGGAGATAAACTTGGCAGGAAGCTGTGGCTGGTTGGCCCTGGGGACTGGGGTGGAAAGGAGGAAGACTTTGGAGATATCAATTGTGAAAATGTCTCTAACTGAGCCTGGTATGGAACAGATATTCACTGTTTGATACACACACACTAAGAGCAGAGGGAACAGGCACCCGATACAGCACTGTTGGCAAGAGGGTAAATTGGCACAGCCTCTTTGGATAGTGATTGACAATACTGTTTTTCAAAAATATTTTTAGCCCTGTCTGGGTAGCTCAGTTGGTTAGAACATCGCCCCAATATGCCCTTGTTGTGGGTTTGATCCCCAGTGAGGGTACATAAAAGAATCAACCAATGGCCCTGACTAGTTTGGCTCAGCAGTTGGAGTGTCAGCCCACAGACCAAAGAGTATGGGCTGAGTTCCCGGTCTAGGGCACCTACCTTGGTTGTGGGTTCTGTTTGGGGTCATGCAAAAGGCAACCAATCGATGTGTCTTTCTCATATTGATGTTTCTTTCGCATATCGATGTTTCTCTCTCCCTCCCACTCTATCTTAAAAAAAAAGTCAATGGGAAAATATCCTCTGGTAAGGATTTAAAAAAAAAGAATCAACCAATTAATGCATAAGTAAGTGGAACAATAGCCCTGGCCAATTTGGCGGTTAGAGCCTGTGGATCAGAGAGTCTCGGGTTTGGTTCCCACTAAGGGCACGTACCTCAGTTGCAAGTTGTCCCCAATCCTGGTTGGGGTCGTGTGGGTGGCAACCACTTGATGTGTCTCTCTCACATCGATGTTTCTTTCTCTCTCTTCCTCCCTCTCTCCCTCCTGCTCTATCTGAAGATAAATGCAAATAAATGTCCTTGGGTGAGGATTAAAAAAAAAAAAACATTTTCCCCATCCCCCCAAAAAAGTGGAACAACAAATTGATGTTTCTCTCTCCCTCTCTCTGAAAGCAATTTTTTTTTTTTTGTATTTATCCTCACCCGAGGACATTTTTCTATTTTTTGTTCAGGTAGAGTGGAAGGGAGAGAGAGGAACAGAGAGAGAGAGAGAAACATCGATGTGAAAGGGACACATTGAGTGGCTGCCACCCGCACGACCAACCAGGGCCAGGGACAAACTGCAACCGAAGTACGCACACCCTTAGCGGGAACTGAACCTGGGTCTTGGGATCACAGGCCAACGCTCTAACCACTGAGCAAAAACAGTCAGGGCATCTAAAAAGAAATTTTTTTTTTTTTTTTTTTTTTTTTTATCCTTACCCGAGGACATTTTTCCATTTTTCACTCAGAGCTGGAAGGAGAGAGAGGAAGAGAGAAACATCGATGTGAAAGGGACACATCGAGTGGCCGCCACCCACACGACCCAACCAGGGCCGGGGACAAACTGCAGCCAAGGTACATGCCCTTAGCGGGAACCGAACCCAGGTCTCTGTGGACCGCAGGCTGACGCTCTAACTGCTAAGCCAAACCGGCCAGGGCTAAAAGCAATTTTTAAAAAGGAAAAACAGCCCTGGCCGGTTTGGCTCAGCGGTTAGAGCGCCCGCCTGCGGTCCGGAGAGACCCGGGTTCGGTTCCCGCTAAGGGCATGTACCTTGGTTGCAGTTTGTCCCCGGCCCTGTTTGGTCGTGCGGGTGGCAGCCACTCGATGTGTCCCTTTCACATCGATGTTTCTCTCTCTCTCTCTTCCCCTCTCTCCCTCCCACTGTCTGTACAAAAATGGAAAAATGTCCTCGGGTGAGGATAAAAAAAAAAATAAATAAAAAAAAAATAAAAAGGAAAAACAACTACCCGTATATTTTTTTTAATTTTTTTTTTTTTTTTTTTTTGGCAGACACCCTTTGATTCAGCAATTCCACTGTTAGGAATTTGTGCTGTAAAAAGAATATATATACATATAACCTTTTATGTATCCAGGTATTAATTGCATCCTTGTTTGTAATAGCAAAACACATGAAATAACCTAAGTGTCCATCAATGAAGGACTAGTTAAATAAATCTTGCTGTATCTATACTAGCGAATACCATGCAGTCTTTTTTATTTTTTTATTTTTTTTCCTTTAATGATTTTTTAGAGAGAGAGGAAGTGAGAGGGAGAAAGAGATAGAAACATCGATGAGAGAGAACATCGATTGGCTGCCTCCTGTATGCCCCCCACTGGGGATGGGCCCACAACCTGGGCATGTGCCCTGACCGGGAGTTGAACCAGTGACCTCTTGGTGCATGGGTCGATGCTCAACCACTGAGCCACACCGGCCGGACTCATGCAGTTTTGAAAAGCAGTGAGATAGAACTATCCAAGCAGATAGAGAATGATCTCTAAGATAGACCAGTCAATGAAACACAGCAAGATTAATAACAATGGTGATGGTGTATTCCCACTATGGAGCAATATAAAAATAGATGTAAATATACATATGTACCTTTGTGTACTCCAGTAGGGTGACAAGAGATGGGAATTGTGGTTAATCCTGGGTAGCAGGGCTGGGGGGCAGTGGGAGTCATCTTCAGATGGGAGGGACACATTTTTACTAACATCTGCTTGCCTTCTTATTTTACTAAACCAGTTTAAAATAAACACATAGTCAACTTTCTAAACATAACATCAAAATAGAACTCATAAATTCCTTGTCTTTCCTTAAACCAGTCATTGCATGACTGCTGTGTACCAGGCACTAGGGTACAGCAGTGAGCTAAACAGACACTGGGAAAAACAAAGGTTAAAAAAGTAATTACAAAATAAATATTACAAAATGAGAAGTAAAGAGTGGTAAATAAAAAATTTAAAACTTTCGCCCTGACCGGTTTGGCTCAGCAGTCAGCACATCGGCCCGCGGACCAAAGAGTCTTGGGTTCAATTCTGGTCAAGGGCACGTACCTCAGTTGCAGTTTGATCCTGGCCCTGGTTGGGGTAA